ATTTACCAACAAGTGGACTGTGTGCTCGTTTGTCACCCTTATGCTTTAAAAAAAACATAACGATATTTATGGAACCTTTTGAATCCCTGATTTTTGCGATTTTACTAACACATTGTTAATTTCTTGCACCTAAACATACTATTTTAAGTTTTAGTCACTACATCTTTTCAATCGTAACGCTGTCTTTCGTTTCTTAATCTGTCATTCATGGTCACACCACTCATACAAAACAAGCAACGCATTTATACTACTTTCGTGTCTTTTCTGCCATACCCAACATTCAATTCCATACATAAGAGTAGACACAAGCACACCATTGTAGATAGCCAGCCAGCCTTTTTGGACGTCGACTGGTTAGCCACAATGGCATGCAAAATACCGTCCACCTTATTTTCCGTGTTCACCCTACTTTCCACATCTGCATCAATATTTCCATCTCTCGTCAACAGATTTCCCAAATACACAAACTCATTCACTTGTCCCACACTTCTATAATCTTCTTTCACATCACATACAGATACATTTTGTCTCTTAAATACCATAACTTTCGTCTTGTTCACATTAATAGGGTTGACCGAGACGATTTGGATCACAGAGCGAATCGGGTCAAAATAAGAAATATTTAAATAAATCAAATATCGCGCCTGGCAGAGCGCAAGTAGTCACCTCTAAAGGTCATACCTCTTCCCTCACATCTTTTGACATAAAGTGCATTTGATTTTTGAAGCGGATCAGTGCAGGCGACGCTCACCTTTGACTCGGTCGCCTGAGCGCATAAAAATTTGGGTGCGAAACTAAGGTACGTAATTCAGATTATTGTTTGCCATTTTGCAGAATTACGTTGAATTATTGAATTAATTTGTTTGTATTTACTAATAATGTATCTTATTGTAATAATTTACATGCGTTTTAGGATAATTTAGTGCGTATTCGGGTAAAACTGTTGAATAAAATTAGTGCGTATTCGGGTAAAACTGTTGAGTAAAATCTTCTATGATATGGGGCGAATTGGATCACATTGTACGGAGCGAACTGAATTACTACAGAATTTCTTTTCAAGGAGCCGGTACTCAAATCGACTGTGTTTTTTTATGTGTGTTACCTCAAAAATTTTTACTGGGTCGACTGATTTCGATGATTCTTTTTTTTATTTAAAAGCTGGTGCTTTACATGAGGTCCCTTATGAATTTAATCCAGTTCTGTCAAATAGTTTTTGAGTTATTCTTAATATTTTATATTGAAGTCGGTTGTACAAAATTTTTAATTTTTAATTATTTATCACATTATTATTATTATAGTTATTTATCCAATTTGTTTGTTGTTTTAGATGGTTCGCACATATATAAGGAAGACTTAGACAAAGCAGAGCTTGCTAATAAAGAAATAATAAAAGAAATCCTTCCGTCACCATATTAGTCTCCAACTGTGACAAAAAACCTCGGAAATAAAAGAAACCGTCTTCCATTTGATATCGCCTCAATTTAAGAAAGTCCTTTAAGAGAAAGACATAAAGAAGAAGGCAAATTTAGATAAGAAACACTAGGTAAATAAGAAGAAGGTAGAAGGCAAAGAAAGGAGCAACAAACGAAACGAAAAAATAAAGCAACACCATTGCTAAAAATTGAAAATGAAACAGCTTTAAGATATTAGCATTGCATTTATTGTTCTAAAAAGTTTATTCATTCACCGTCGAAAAATTGGATACAGTGCAATTCTTGTGAAGAGTGGTGCCATGAAAAGTGTACCGATAGAGGAGGAAGTAACGGACCATATACGTGTGATTGATGTGCCTTGTGGTCACTGATCTCACAATTTAGTACGTTAATTAGTTTCTGACTGATTTTTTTGTAAATATTTTGTTGTGATTGAGATTTTATTAAGGTTTTTGTTAGATCCGATTCACCCCTGTCGTTGGGGCGAATCGCATGTTTCAAATTTTTTCTCTTTTTGTATTTTCATGGAAGAAAGTTTAAGTTAAATTTAAGTTTGACATTGCTAAGTTGCGCTTTAATATGCTTATGAAAAATTTACCGATTCGCCTCGGTCTACCCTATGCACCCCCTTCACTTTATATGCTTCATTCATCGCAGTTAGTATGTCTTGCAATCGTTCCGCTGACTATGCAAGTAGAACTTGATCACCTGCGCAGGGAAGACACTTGACAGGTAACTGATCCACACTCACTCTCTTTTAAATCTGTCAGACAACTATTTTATTACTTATTTTTAACTTATCTATGAATTTAATATCATGATAAAGAAATAAAGGTACCTACTTTTATGGATTTTATCGCGTTTAATTTTAACTTTTCTTCGTTTCGGGCACGGGGGGGGGGGGACTGAGGTGTTTGGCGTCCTGATGTCATAGTTAACAAAGGCTACCTTCACCTTTTAATTATTAATGAATGGTGTAGAGTGCCCGAAACGATGGCAATTAATAAGTTTAAATTAAACGCGATAAAATTCGTAAAATTAGTTTCATTCCATGTGTATTATTCGCGTAAATATAATAAATAATTATTAAAAAATGATTTGGAATTAGTTTGTGAAAATGTTTCAATACAATGGTAATGTTGGTAATGAAAAAAAAATGTTTCCTAATTACCTACCGTCTTAATGTAAATACCCAAAAAATGGAACCTATTATGATTGTATAATGATTATACTTTACTACAATAAAATGTAGTGTTTGTATAAACTAATTAGGGAAAAAAAGTGTAGGTACCACTGAAACACTAAATTGGTTTTTTCTCAAATTGCAGTCATTGCGGTTGGAACGGTTTCGCATAATTACGACGAATGAGAATCGAAAGTTTTAGCAATAGCTTTAAAAATTGGTAAATTTAATACAGGTTTTCAGCTAAATATTTAAAATGTTAAAATATTTTGGAGTTTAATATTTCGTAAACAAAGCTAATTACTAATTATGGAACTACATATGACAGACCGAACAGAACTATATGGGTTTTATGGATGACAACGGAACTCTAAAAATAATAAATGCCTATAACGATTGTAAGTTTTCCTTAGAATTTTCGTATCTCTTAACTTTTTATAATTTTATCCGCAAATAAATTTTCCGACGGGAATATCGACAGGAAATAGTTGTCCAATATAATAAATGCAATAAGGAAAATATTTCCTTTCACAGTGACAAGGTTTCCATTTCATTATTACAAACAATAACAATCCAAAAATGCAATTTTCATAGGTAGCAAACCATCCAAGTCAAAGGGAAATATATAATATAAAAACGGTAAGATTGCATCCTTATATTTTAATGAGATAATTAAAAATTATTAAATATTTATAAAATTAGATATAATATAACACATTTATTCCTCTTTATTCAAATAAATTTATACTAGTACAATTATGTATCATCCACAATTATTTACAACATGAACATAAGGAAACACAAATAACAGCAATAAAATTAATGTTGATTTACGTTAATTAACTATAACTAAAATCAGAAATAATGAGTCTTACAGAGGGACATTTGAATTATGTCGGTGCCGTATTTATAATCATGAAATAATTTCTTTAGTTCTGTCTACTGTATGAATTTGAAAAAACAATACAAGAATAATAGAAATGCAATAAATTACTAAGCTCTATTACAAAAAATTAAAACACACTATATCAAAATCAGATGAAATAAAAATGGGGTTGTTCGTAAAAACAAACTTTGGTTTCTGAATGTCAACTATTCATTCCATAGATTTATTTAACATGAAAATACTTGAGGTACACTTTAAATTTTTAAGCTTTTACTCGCTTGAGTAATTCTTAAAATTGCTTCTTAGTTTTAAAAATAAAAATAAATATTTTATTCGAAATTTGATTATCTTATGATCTGAATGCATTTACTCATTGTATTTAGTTAAATGATAGAAGACAAAAAAATTTAAATATCGCTGTGATTGAAATTGTTTATTCATTTGTTTTGCTTTTATAATAATAATTATTATTGGTAATATTATTATAAATTCTTCATTCACCGGTCATTTCATTAAAATAACATTAAACTATATAATTGTATAATAATCACTTCCAATGATTTGAAGATTCTTGTCAAACTAATTAATTGAGCTATTCGTTGATAGGTGGTAATTAATATGAATATCAAATTGATAAAAAATAGATAATATAAAAAAATATGGTATTGCTAGGTTGTGACATGTTTGTTTGTTTAAGCTGAATTAGACAAATTATTACTCTTTAATGCCTTCACTTAAATTTTACAAAGAATTATAAACACATTAAAATTCACTATAATTTTATACAAGAAAAGGTTAATCAAATAAATATAATAAATATATATTGAAGTAGTAAAGATAAGGTCAGAAAATAATATAGCAGATATATTTACAAAAGCATTAGGAAACGTAATACATCTTACAATTCAGAGAAATGTTAAATCTTAAAGAATTAATTAAGATGTGTTATTATAAATAGTTTTGATAAGCTAAAAATAAATGAGGTAGTATTGTAACTGATATTGATGTGTTGTGTTGCAATATAAATGTAAGGAGGCGTGTTAGTTATTATACATTTATATAGGCAACACTGACACTGAATCAATGGTCTGAGTGTGTTTGGCGGATGTTGTTGCGTAGTATATTTTGTATGTAACAATGTGATTTTGATGATTGTTCTTAAGTTTAAGATTTAGTTAATAAAAGAAAAGTTATTTTGTGTAAAGCTGTAAAGGTGATTAATAAAACATGTAATAAAGAAGGAAGTTTATTTTAACCAATAACACTAACATAAGTAATGACTTTAAGTTATATTCACGTTAAAAGATATAATAACCATTTTTAATTCGTTCACTTCGGTAACGTGAATGTCTGACGTCGACAGCAGACGAGCAGCGGGCGAAACAGTGAGGTACAGATCAGTGCATCGTAAAGACGTTACTCCGCTTATCTCTCTAAAATATTAACGGGGTGATTTTATAGTTAAAGTTTGGCGTCTTCACCTTATTATTAGCAAATTATGGCTCGAAAAGTGGAAAATGTGGACATCCTTGACATGGAGTTGTATTTTCCTTCACAATACGTGGATGAAATAGACTTGGAAAAATTTGATGCAGTCGATACAGGCAAGTACACCTTTGGACTTGGTCAGAGTAAAATGGGTTTTCGCTCTAATAGAGAAGATATTAATTCAGTATGTCTTACTGCCCTACATAGACTTATAGAGAGGAATAACATTAATTTACGTGATATTGAACGCCTTGAGGTTGGTACTGAAACTATAATAGATAAAAGCAAAAGTGTAAAAACCTTTCCTGTGACATTATTTGCTAAAGAAGGGGCTACTGATGTAGAAGGGATGGATTCTACCAATGCTTGCTATGGAGGTACAGCAGCTCTTTTCAATGCAATAAATTGGGTTGACTCATCCTCTTGGGATGGTAGAAAAGCAATTGTGATAGCAAGTGATATTGGAGTGTATGGAAAAGGACCTGCTAGACCAACAGGAGGTGCTGGAGCTATTGCAATGTTAATAAGAACAGATGCACCGTTAGTTTTTGATTGTGGTGTTCGTGCATCTTATATGACACATGCTTATGATTTTTATAAGCCCGATTTAGCATGTGAATTTCCTTATGTTGATTGGAAATTGACTATTAAATGCTATTTAAATGCTTTAGATAATTGTTATAATCTACTTTGCAAGAAAATGAGAAATGTTGACTCTAATTTCAAAGGTCTGTTGAGTTTGTATGACATGCTGTTTCATAAACCTAATTGTAAGTTAGTGCAAAAATCATTAGCTAGAGTGTATTGTAATGACTCCCTGAATGCATTACCTAACGTTTGACAATCATAAAAGAGAAGAAACATATTTCGATCGAGATGTAGAGAAAGCATTCATGACATACAGTCAAAGTTTATTCGAGGAGAAAATTAAGCCGTCTTTGCACATTGGGAGAAATGTAGGAAACATGTACACTTCATTGTTATATGGAGGGCTTGTATCTTGTATCATATCTGGTTAGTAAATCCCCATACCAATTGATCCGTAAAAATTTTGCATTGTTTTGTTATGGTTCTGGCCTGGCATCTACAATGTATTCCATTAACATATGTAAAGATATGAGTGCTGGGTCGAAATTGGAACATCTTATTTAATCGCTTAATGACACTGTGTCAATGTTAGATAAAAGACAATGTGTCCAGGTAAGTGTATTCACAGACCTCATGGATGTGAGAACAAATAATTATCAAACAGCCCCGTATGAACCATTTGGTTCCATAGGTGTCTTATTTCCTGGTACATACTACCTGGTTAGTATAGATGAACAAAGGCGACGAACATATGAAAGGAAACTCTAAAGCATTTTCTAGTATTGTAGTACGTTTGGTGTAGGTTAATTTTATTATGCATGTTCTATAACTTTTATTATTGGTATTACAAAAATGAGCTTAAAATTAAATTTCTATATATGTACACATATATAACATAAGAAATTTGTAGTAATGTTTAATTGTTTCATATTTTGTATTACACAACACACTTGTTTATTATTCATGGTCAGAATGTTCACAATACAATTTCCTTAATATTTGGTCTTACTCAGCATGTAACGCTGCCGTATATATAAAGATTAAGAATATATTCAGGTAAATATAAATTATTAAGTATGGCATAAGTTGAAATAAAGTTAATGACTGTTCTTAAAACACTTTCTTTAAAAATCAAAACCCGTACTAATTGTTCTTCATTAATTAATAAAATCAGTACTAACAATGTTTTAATAGAGTACTCGACTCTATTAAAACTCTTTAAATCAAGCTATTGCACATTCATATCAGTTTGCAGCAAATGTAAGACAGAGCTTTCAAAGTCTTCTTTTTATTTTAAAAACGGTAAACATTCTAAGCATAAATAATAAAAGTGTGTTGTGTAATACAAAATATGAAACAATTAAACATTACTACAAATTTCTTATGTTATATATGTGTACATATATAGAAATTGAATTTTAAGCTCATTTTTGTAATACCAATAATAAAAGTTATAGAACATACATAATAATATTAACCTACACCAAACGCACTACAATACTAGAAAATTCTTTAGAGTTTCCGTTCATATGTTCGTCGCCTTTGTTCATCTATACTAACCAGGTAGTATGTACCAGGAAATAAGACACCTATGGAACCAAATGGTTCATACGGGGCTGTTTGATAATTATTTGTTCTCACATCCATGAGGTCTGTGAATACACTTACCTGGACACATTGTCTTTTATCTAACATTGACACAGTGTCATTAAGCGATTAAATAAGACGTTCCAATTTCGACCCAGCACTCATATCTTTACATATGTTAATGGAATACATTGTAGATGCCAGGCCAGAACCATAACAAAACAATGCAAAATTTTTACGGATCAATTGTTATGGGGATTTACTAACCAGATATGATACAAGATACAAGCCCTCCATATAACAATGAAGTGTACATGTTTCCTACATTTCTCCCAATGTGCAAAGACGGCTTAATTTTCTCCTCGAATAAACTTTGACTGTATGTCATGAATGCTTTCTCTACATCTCGATCGAAATATGTTTCTTCTCTTTTATGATTGTCAAACGTTAGGTGATGCATTCAGGGAGTCATTACAATACACTCTAGCTAATGATTTTTGCACTAACTTACAATTAGGTTTATGAAACAGCATGTCATACAAACTCAACAGACCTTTGAAATTAGAGTCAACATTTCTCATTTTCTTGCAAAGTAGATTATAACAATTATCTAAAGCATTTAAATAGCATTTAATAGTCAATTTCCAATCAACATAAGGAAATTCACATGCTAAATCGGGCTTATAAAAATCATATGCACGTGTCATATAAGATGCACGAACACCACAATCAAAAACTAACGGTGCATCTGTTCTTATTAACATTGCAATAGCTCCAGCACCTCCTGTTGGTCTAGCAGGTCCTTTTCCATACACTCCAAAATCACTTGCTATCACAATTGCTTTTCTACCATCCCAAGAGGATGAGTCAACCCAATTTATTGCATTGAAAAGAGCTGCTGTACCTCCATAGCAAGCATTGGTAGAATCCATCCCTTCTACATCAGTAGCCCCTTCTTTAGCAAATAATGTCACAGGAAAGGTTTTTACACTTTTGCTTTTATCTATTATAGTTTCAGTACCAACCTCAAGGCGTCCAATATCACGTAAATTAATGTTATTCCTCTCTATAAGTCTATGTAGGGCAGTAAGACATACTGAATTAATATCTTCTCTATTAGAGCGAAAACCCATTTTACTCTGACCAAGTCCAAAGGTGTACTTGCCTGTATCGACTGCATCAAATTTTTCCAAGTCTACTTCATCCACGTATTGTGAAGGAAAATACAACTCCATGTCAAGAATGTCCACATTTTCCACTTTTCGAGCCATAATTTGCTAATAATAAGCTGAAGACGCCAAACTTTAACTATTAAATAAACCCGTTAATATTTTAGAGAGATAAGCGGAGTAACGTCTTTACGATGCACTGATCTGTACAGTCTGGTGGCCTCACTGTTTCGCCCGCTGCTCGTCTGCTGTCGACGTCAGACATTCACATTACCGAAGTGAACGAATTAAAGATGGTTATTATATCTTTTAACGTGAATATAACTTAAAGTCATTACTTATGTTAGTGTTATTGGTTAAAATAAACTTCCTTCTTTATTACATGTTTTATTAATCACCTTTACAGCTTTACACAAAATAACTTTTCTTTTATTAACTTAATCTTAAACTTAAGTACAATCATCAAAATCACATTGTTACATACAAGATATACTACGTAACAACATCCGCCAAACATACTCAGTGTCATTGATTCAGTGTCAGTGTTGCCAATATAAATGTATAATAACTAACACGCCTCCTTACATTTATATTGCAACACAACACATCAATATCAGTTACAATACTACCACATTTATTTTTAGCTTATCAAAACTATTTATAATAACACATCTTAATTAATTCTTTAAGATTTAACATTTCTCTGAATTGTAAGATGTATTACGTTTCCTAATGCTTTTGTAAATATATCTGCTATATTATTTTCTGACCTTATCTTTACTACTTCAATATATATTTATTATATTTATTTGATTAACCTTTTTTTGTATAAAATTATAGTGAACCTTAATGTGTTTAGAATTCTTTGTAAAATTTAAGTGAAGGCATTAAAGAGTAATAATTTGTCTAATTCAGCTTAAACAAACAAACATGTCACAACCTAGCAATACCATATTTTTTTATATTATCTATTTTTTATCAATTTGATATTCATATTAATAACCACCTATCAACGAATAGCTCAATTAATTAGTTTGACAAGAATCTTCAAATCATTGGAAGTGATTATTATACAATTATATAGTTTAATGTTATTTTAATGAAATGACCGGTGAATGAAGAATTTATAATAATATTACCAATAATAATTATTATTATAAAAGCAAAACAAATGAATAAACAATTTCAATCACAGCTATATTTAAATTTTTTTATCTTCTATCATTTAACTAAATACAATGAGTAAATGCATTCAGATCATAAGATAATCAAATTTCGAATTAAATATTTATTTTTATTTTTAAAACTAAGAAGCAATTTTAAGAATTACTCAAGCGAGTTAAAGCTTAAAAATTTAAAGTGTACCTCAAGTATTTTCATGTTAAATAAATCTATGGAATGAATAGTTGACATTCAGAAACCAAAGTTTGTTTTTACGAGCAACCCCATTTTTATTTCATCTGATTTTGATATAGTGTGTTTTAATTTTTTGTAATAGAGTTTAGTAATTTATTGCATTTCTATTATTCTTGTATTTTGTTTAAATTCATACAGTAGACAGAACTAAAGAAATTATTTCATGATTATAAATACGGCACCGGCATAATTCAAATATCCCCCTGTAAGACATAAAAGTATACCCAACTCTTTATTTCTGATTTTAGTTATAGTTAAATAATGTAATCAACATTAATTTTATTGCTGTTATTTGTGTTTCCTTATTATCATGTTGTAAATCATTGTGGATGATACATAATTGTACTAGTATAAACTTCATTGAATAAAGAGGAATAAATGTGTTATATTATATCTAATTTTATAAATGTTTAATAATTTTTATTTATCTCATTAAAATATAAGGATGCAATCTTACCGTTTTTATATTCTATATTTCCCTTTGACTTGGATGGTTTGCTACCTATGAAAATTGCATTTTTGGATTGTTATTGTTTGTAATAATGAAATGGAAACTTTGTCACTGTGAAAGGAAATATTTTCCTAATTGCATTTATTATATTGAACAATTATTTCCTGTTGATATTCCCGTCGGAAAATTTATTTGCGGATAAAATTATAAAAAGTTAAGAGATACGAAAATTCTAAGGAAAACTTACAATCGTTATAGGCATTTATTATTTTTAGAGTTCCGTTGTCATCCATGAAACCCATATAATTCTGTTCGGTCTGTCATATGTAGTTCCATAATTAGTAATTAGCTTTGTTTTCGAAATATTAAACTCCAAAATATTTTAACATTTTAAATATTTAGCTGAAAATCTGTATTAAATTTACCAATTTTTAAAGCTATTGCTAAAACTTTCGATTCTAATTCGTCGTAATTATGCGAAACCGTTCCAACAACAATGACTGCAATTTGAGAAAAAACCAATTTAGTGTTTCAGTGGTACCTACACTTTTTTGCCCTAATTAGTTTATACAAACACTACATTTGATTGTAGTAAAGTATAATCATTATACAATCATGTAGGTTCCATTT